AGCCAGTGTAATTTTAATTCTTATCAATTTATCGGTAAACCAATTTTGGTAAATTCTTATACAAAATGTTTTTTGTGATTGTAAACCAGAACGTGTTAACGGAAAATCTTTAATGACCTTTAACATTAGATGCATATCTCGAATGCTTCTTACTGTTGAAATATGATAGTGGATGTTATAAAATGTGCTTATACCCTATATTCTAGACTCTTATCAATGCAAGATGCTCGATAGGGATGAGGTATGTATATATATATGAGGTCAAGGTTCATAAAATAATGTGTTCGTTAACATATACGATCAAGGTGTTAGGAAGAGAGGTGATGTTTAGTCGTAGGAAAGTAAGGACTACAGTGTGATATAATGAAGTCTAGTCCTAGATGTTTGACAGCGAGGGATTTAAAAAGAAATAGAAAATTAGGAATAAAAAAATTATATAGATGTCAGTTGAAGAAATTTGGCTGCGAAGTTATGAAATGACCCCCATCGAACCCTTGGCGTTCAAAAAGCTCCGTGCGCATGAAAATACGGGTTTGGATGAGAATAGACGAAGACCTGTTAATATCGTTCTCTATTTGTTAGAGCGAAGAGGAAGAGGGAGATAGGTAAAATGACTATGTTTATCTTATCCTTATCGTATCGAATGACTGGTCAAGAAAAGGATAATTAGGTTTAGATGATAATTCTGTACAATTGTATTTATTATCATTAAATTAGTGTTTCAAAGAAAAAAAAATATCAAGAATTATTATAGATAAAGGGCAAGATGATAGAGATAAATCAATAACGTTCCAGTTGTTCATGGTATACTGGTACTCCCTTACATTTGTCTCAAAGGACTGTTTAAATGTCACTTCCTTTCTCGAAACGCCAGTCAAATTAAACAAAGTGCAGTCAACTTAAATGCCAACTAGAATTATGCAAATAATTGCTGACTCCAAGGACGACGTGCGGTGATTTTACAGTGATTTTTTAGTATAAAAAATCTCTTTATTGGAACATATTTTCCTGAATCAAAGATACTTTTGTCCCACACCTGATTTATATGGAAATCCGTTGACAAATTACAGGTGTGGTTTTTTATCAGGGAAGTGTAAAAGAGGTTTAGACGCGACGGTTCTCATACTTAGAGCCGTAACTGCCAAGATGACCCCTTTATGCCCCACAGTACAATCACACATCCTGAGGGAAACAAGCTCTGTATTATCGGATTGCCTTAAGCAAACTGAGTGATACTGTCACATCAACGTCACCGCTCTATTGATCCTCTACTATTCAATGCGGCCCGTTCGCCCCAATTACACAACAAACCAACGTTATTGGACCCGACAGTTATACTGTAATACTCATTTCGGCGAAAGGGAGGTGTTATTGTAACAAATCATTTCGAGATTAAGTAATTTCTGGTTTCAGAATAAGAAGTATAGATGGAAATGTGGGTCAAGTGATAATTTATCTGAGCGCGTCTCAAAGTACGTCAACGAGTATAAATGTAACCTGAAAGCTCCTAGAAAGCCTCCTTCAGCCTAGTACTTTGGAGCAAAATGGGTACAAGACGCCTATTTCATTGACTCCTTTAGAAACAGCAATGAATACACTTTGTTAACGGAATCTTAATTCAAGAACAAATTCGATTAAATAATGATAATATAACCAGGTAAACTAGAATATTCGATCGAGGAAAGAATGGTTTCATCTCAACGCAAAGCATTGGATTCTTCTGTGGAGTCAGAGAATCTGTTTTCAGTCATTAAAAGTTGCATTTTTCTCCTGTCTGGTTTCAAGATGGCGATATAACATTCAAAGATCAAACCAGATCACAGCTACATATTTCTTTGATAAGAAAAACCTTTTCAATATTACCGTCTTGTACACAATATCGAGCAATCCATTGACCTTTGTGAACGAATGAGCTGGCATACCTTATAAGATACCGTTGTGCAATTCAATGTTTCGAGAGATATACCGCTACAGATTTATGGTATTTTACACAAGACTACATTGGGTTTCAATTTGGTATCGTTTCATTTAGAAATCCGACTAACACGGATAATTCAAGTTCGAGAGAGCACCCCAATTAACAAAGACGAACATAGGCGTGATGGGGAGGAAGGAGACGGAAGTGACGTGTTCATTACAATGTTTCTATGTTACTTACACGAAAGTATCTGCATGTCGTAACCTTTTCGTGTCAGTAGAAGTTAATATCACTGTGAGTTACTGATAACACACAAGCTGTAATTATATATAGCTTTGCTACCACTCCTATGAAATATCATATCACGACTTCTCGAACATTGACCTTGTTCACATCAGTAGACATTTTCTTTGTCAAGGTTTTAATAAACACCGCTGAAAACTGTAGAATTGATTATTCTCAGATAACGCCGTTTTTAATTCTGTTTTGTTTACCAATATGTTCAGAATCTGACAGTATGGTGATACGTTGTTGATGTAGATATCTTCTATAACACGTAAATAACTTGTAAGGCTCTTGTCTGTGTAACTGATAGATTCACGTCATGATAAACAGTATTATTTCTACGGTAAGTAAATATAAACTTGATATCAATTATTGTGGCACTCGTGGATTATCAGTAGTTGTAAGCATCTTTAACACGTGCTTTGTATTGTAGTGTGTAAGTATTCTGTATGGATATTAGTTAACACAAAGACGCGAACACGATAATCGTATTGCAATTTCAAATACATCAAATCTGTTTCTCCACCGACTTAATCCGCCTGCTTACATAGATCATTGCCACATGGTTTCTTAGGATCGGACATGGCTATTGTTATTATGCTGTGGAGAAGTTTGTGATGGTTTGATGAATATAATGGGTATTTATGGAAAATTCATTTTTGATCTAAAATGTCTTATCATGTGTAACTAGTTTAGTCAGGCATACCAAGTCCTGGATGTAACGTTTTTGCCAAGATTTTACATGATTTCTGAATAATCCGATCTATGTTGCCGTAGTAAATGATATTGTGGGCGATTTTCATTGTGTTCGGTTGATTTTGTTAACCTAAATAACATGGAGATAGTCATCTAACTGTACAATATGTGTGAGAGAAGACAGGGCTCTGTTAGAACGCGAACAATATTGACATCACAACTATGTGTTAAGTTTTCAATAATAACATTACCACAGTCCGTGATGTTCGTTAATCATATCGTGAGGTCATTAATCGTCAGAATCAATCAAATGGAATCTTTTATTAGTTTATGGACTGTCGTTAATACATTACTACACACTATGACATGGTCTCCAGGTAACAATTTCCTCTTGCTATAAAACCAGAAACACGATACAAATTTGTTATTTCCAAACATTCCACAGACGCTAGCAAGTTTGTATCACAATTATTTCAACATGAAAAATATTGGAAACTATTCCTAAGAGTGATTTTGAGAATTGGATAAAAAAATATATAGTTTAATCATTACAAAATATAACACATCATAGGTCAAACTACCTGTTGCTATATATAGATTGATAAACAGAGATAGATCTGAGATAACAATTTAACGCGAACTTGCCGTGATGGGTCGAATAGGCTGATGTCCACGGTGGCGTGGTTGGTTACTTTTTTTATACGTTTAGTTTTATCGTTTCTACTGGATACAAAATCCAATCACAACAAATAGCGTTGCCTTACGTTAATTGATTCGGCTCTTGAGCACTAGAACACTTTACTACAAATTGCCGCGGAAAAATTTACCCTCAGTGGTTCCAGAATTCCTACTGCGGTTACTCCTTGGTGAATCTCATATACGGCATCTCGAGACAGCGAGGGCTATTATATATCTTTCTTGGTGTGTATTACCCGCAGCACAACACGCGTACAATTGTGAATATCATAAATCAAACCTTCAAATAGACGAAATATCAATTTTCCGCTCGAGAGAAAATATATTGCTAAATGTTTCTGACACATTACTGTGTATAATATTCCGAAGTCAAAGGATTGGAAGTCGTTAATTCTATGAAAAATCCTTACCATTTTTGACGTCTATTCCTTCTAATGAATTTAGGCTTCGATGTCTTTTCACTGATGCCGTTGTGGATTTGGTTTTGGATTTGTGCATTAATGACAGATATCTTGAAAATGCTATGGTTTTCAAAGTAGTACTCAGCTGAAGCACATAATTTGACGAAAAATATTGCAACTGCATCTCAAGCCGAAATTGGCTTTTTGATGTCTTCATTTCCAATCACGCAGGATTTCTAACATAACAACCATTTAGTATCAAAGTGAAACTGATTTTTAAATATTTTTTTATTTTCAAAATGTTCAGGAAAGAGCATGTCAGGGCTAGAAATGAAGTTGTCTCCACATCCCTAAACCATGACCTCAATCAGATGATGTATTTGTGAAAACGAGGTTGATATTAATCAGTGGTAGGTTCTTCCAGCAATTATTTTTAATCCACAGAAAGTATAGCTATCCTTCACAGTGTATACAGGTGGATCTTGCATCTTCTCGATTCCTCGTCAGCAATTTCTGCGAATGAGGTCTGTCCATAGGGACGTATAAAAAATAGGATCATAGGTTAATGTAACGAGAGCGACACATGAACAAGAAAGAGATTGACTCGGAGACCAACGTCCGTCTCCAGGGAAATACAACAATATAATTTCATCAGCAAACATATAAAATTATTCCAAGAACCATTCATTTTTTATCATATCCTTAGTCTAAAGTGTTTTAGTAATACCCACCGCAGAGCTTAACAAGACATTTTCGTTTCAGTTATTTGATCCGTACACTCAACTTTGTAACGTAAAATAAAGGATTTCAAATAACCTAGCCCGCCTGTCTCAATATTGACGAACTAAATTTACTGATACTTCTTAGTGCGTACGCCATTTTGTATTTTCAATATCAAAGATTATTGGTGTAAACAGCAACAGACGATGTCGTATAGGTTTATATTTTTGCCAAGTCACTGTATATACTTTTGTTTTAGATTAATAATGTGTATTTTATTTCAGAATGTTCCGGTCGAATACTGACATCAAAAGGCTCTTCGCGAAGTTCGGTCATCTGAAGACAGAAGAAGAAATGAGAATGGACGATATTCTCGAGAAACATGCAACTACTGTCATGGCGACCGTGGACGAAGCAATGAACAATATTGACAATGTAGATTTCGTATTAACACTACTGAAACACCGTGGTAATTACCACAAGAAAATCCCGGGATTTACGTCAGAATTGTTCTGGGTAAGTACATCAGCTCAATAACACTACTGAAACACCGTGGTAATTACCACAAGAAAATCCCGGGATTTACGTCAGAATTGTTCTGGGTAAGTACATCAGCTCAATAACACTACTGAAACACCGTGGTAATTACCACAAGAAAATCCCGGAATTTCTCTGGTTAAGTAAATCGACTCATGATGAAGTCCTTAAATTTGCAAGCTGGACTGGAAAAGCTGGCCCAGCACTTCGCAACGATTATGATTTGATGAAATGAATATTAAACGAAACAGTTTCCAATACAGACTTTCATTACCTGTTTCATTTTTGTTTCTATTTCGACTAAAACAAAAAAGATAAAGAGCATCATTTAATTAATGACATGTGGATTGTATCACCTGAATATTTTTTTCGTATCTGGCGTCTAACAGTCTGTCATTTAGAACGGTTTTTTATGGGAAATGATTATTCCATTACCCGAAATTTGGTTAAACTAACTGCTTCACTATGAACACTGTAATGATAATAACTAATATCTGTGTCATACCCCCTGTAAAGCACCACTCCCCCCCTTAACTCCATACATTGCTGCCATCCTTACAACACTCGAAATCAATGCTCTATTGCTGTTTTTTTTCGGCGCTGAGCTAAATACCCTGCCTTCATTTTATTTATTCCATTATGAGAAATGTAACCCCTAAAACAAACACACTTTCTGCTTTCATCATTTGTCGGATCTGCGTTATCCAGTATCACTATAAGTCGGTTCCACAATACAAACTGTCGGACCCACGTTGTCCAAAATTAACATCCGCCAGGTCAACACTATTTGGTATCACCATCTGTCGGATTAACGTTATCAAGTATCACCATCTGCCGGTGTCATCATCTGTTGGATCCACACTACCGGTATCATAAACTGATAGACCCACGTTCCTCATTATCCGGAATCACCGTGTGTCAGACCCACGGTATCCAGTGTTACCACGGTATCCAGTGTTACCACGGTATACAGTGTTACCACGGTATCAAGTGTTACAACGTTATCCGGTATTGCAATCTTTCGGACCCATGCTATCCGGTATCATACGGTAACACCACATTTTATGTAGTACCACATTATCCGGTATCACCACATTATCCGGTATCACCACATTTTCTGGTATCACCTCATTATCCGGTATCACCACATTTTCTGGTATCACCACATTATCCGGTATCACCACATTTTCCGGTATCACCATATTATCCTTTATCATCACATTATCCGTTTTCACCACATTATCCGGTATCACCACATTATCCGGTACCACCACATTATCCGGTATAACCACATTATCCGGTATCACCACATTTTCTGGTATCACCACATTATCCGGTATCACCACATTATCCGGTATCACCACATTTTCTGGTATCACCACATTTTCCGTTATCACCACAATATCCGGTATCACCACGTTATCCGGTATCACCACATTTTCTGGTATCACCACATTTTCCGGTATCACCACATTTTCCGGTATCACCACATTATCCGGTATCACCACATTATCCGGTATCACCACATTATCCGGTATCACGTTCTTCGTTATTCAGTTGGGTTGCTTTTAATTCTATGAAATACAATATATCGGATTCCACTCATTGTTTTTTCTAAAGAAACTTTCAGATTGAATTAGGCGGAAATAACATATGAAGTTTATTTTTCGAAAATGGTGGTATACTGTAGACAGAGATTCAGAGTCCTTTGTCGACGTATTTCATAGAGATATATAGTACATGTGTACTGAATTGATAAATGACAAGAGCAGTTATATATAGAAATGTAATTGCTTTGGTTTTGAAACTTATTCCCCTTTTTTAGCTGTACTATGTCATTTGCTCTGAAGAAACTACACCTTCTTAGATAATTATTTTGACTTCGTCCAATCAAGTAATAAAATATTGTTCTTCCCATGGTGACCAAAGCGATGATGCTATTAACTTGGAGACTAGTTGTCTCACAGACCGGGCACTTGTCGAGTATTGATTCAGAATAATGTGTTCGATAATGAACTGTTTGATAATCCCGACGGAAACTTACGCTTAACGAAGGTCGCCTCCATGTACCCTGTGTTAATGATCAAAATGTCCGTGTAGCATTTTATTGATGTCATAAGATTGATGAAAAGAACGAGGTTTATGTAATTATCCTTTAGTAACAAAACAACATGGACTTTAAAGTAGATGAGGAAGCTAAACATTTGCTTTGAAGAAAATTTGCATTGAACAGAATCCGATATATACATGTATATATATATACGGCTTGGCTAATATCCAGAAACATTATAGTACAGTTTCAATTTTTTCATAAATATCATATCATTTTGAATATCATCTATTTTGTAATTTCGATTGCTGAAGGCGGTATTGTTTGGTTTTTAAATGTCAAAATCCAATAGCCAACCATTCCGAACTCTACGGCAAAATATTTTGTAGTTTTTAAGGTTTTTATTTTAGATTCTAGTGTCCGGATCCAATATCCCGCAGTTGATTTGTTGATGCTGTTCTGTGCTGCAACATACTGCTTCCATATCTACAATATATGTACATTTCTGATCTACATATGTTGCTCTTGCCTGTTAACGTATTAGCAAGAATCAAATATAAGCATGGTAAAACGTATTAGCAAGAATCAAATATAAGCATGATAACACGTAGCATTATTTAGGCTTTTTGATTGTATCTTTTATTCATCATACATAATTCCTTTGTGACATCATCATGGGCCCACATGTGATCACATGATTATGATCACGTGGTTTTTGCTACATTTTGTTTTCTTCTTCTTTTGGTATACATTGGAACAAGAGTTCCAAACGGAGCAACCCTATAGATTATACTTCGATACAAAATTGACTGTGCTCTTACATTTCACAACTTCAGGATATTGCACGTAATTCACACAATTGTCGTATATCGAGATAGCATGGCCATCGATCAGACAATAGATGATGAAGACTACCGACCGCTGTGATAAATCCAATTGTCGTACGTACTGTGTACGTCATTGTAAGAACTGGATCACGTGAGAGTTAATCAGTACAAATATCGAACTCATGCACATGACCTTTACCTCCAACCCCAGATCATACGATGTGATTTCTTCCGTCGTCTTAAAATTTTCAAATTGGTATATTTTTTTCTGCCGATGATGTATTTCAAAAGCATACATAATTTGATCGTGATTATATAGTTACAACATATTTGCATTATAGAATTATTCCTGTAAATTATCACAGCTACATGTGATATGCATAATAGTTTTCATCAAATCCATTTTGTGTGAAATATTTCAAAGTATCTCTATCATTAGAATATTTTTGAAATACTTCGGCATTTTAACTGTTGACTTGTTAATGCATCTACAAAGCCGTACATATATTTCGCCATTGTTACATAACACCTCACTATGGATACCAGAAACATCACACCTGGTGAAAGGTACCAGAAAAACAATGATGTTACACCTGGCTTAGTATAACAGAAACACAATACCACACCCGACAAAGGACACTAGCAACACAATTGCAATGTATCTGGCAGTGACACCAATCTATCCTCCGAGTATATCGAGCTTGGTATAACAATGTGTCCTAGCCTTATTGTTTATTTTAGTAACAAATATTATTTTGAAATTACCGACCTTTGGGACGCCAGCATCAGGGAAATCACGTGTATTCGTGTGTAGCAACACTATCCTATATACATACGACCATGAAATCAGCATGGCAACGTAATTATTTTCAAAAACACGTAATGTGAAATTGCAAGCATGGTCTTAGTGAAGGTTTGAGAAGTAATCTACTTTATAAAAGAAAAGATCAAACAAATGTTATATTTCAATATTTACGCTGTCAGTATTCTGAAGGTTGCCCAGGGATACAGAATATTTCCATTTCTACATACTGTTTGCTTAACATGAAGTCTGAACGTCGTTCCTTTCTGTGTCCCTTGAATGGTTGTTCTGTGACCTGCATGCCTATCTGATGGCTTTCCTGTTTCTGATTTAGGCTTCCAATCTTTTAATTGTTCTGTAGGTATGCTCCCCCTCTACTACTCCCTCCAATTCACCTTTCTTCTTTAGTTTTTGAAGTTCCAGAAAAAGTGATGTTTGCGATAGTTAAAGGGTTATTTGAAAATATCTGTTGAAGTGTAGGTGATTTTTTGGATGAATTGATAGTAAAGGGTCATTTTGGCATTAAGATAGAGTTGGTTGAAGGTTGATGGGAAAGTATGATTAGTGAAAGTAGTGAGGTGGGGCGAGCCAGGAAAGGTAAGAAAGGGTTATGTTTCCTGGGAAGGAGGGACCTTTTAAATGAAAATATGTGTGGATGTGGTAACTGTTTTCAAGCATCGATAACAGTTATTCTCAAAGAAGGCCCAAAGTGTTATTATTGTAACATGTCACCACACTTATCGTTTAAATACAAAATACTTTCAAAATATTGTAAAGTCGTGTCCTTTCATAAGACTGGGATAAAGTTATTGTTTTTTCTCACGCAGAGATGAAAAGTCACAAGTCACGAGCAACACCTTTTAAGAAATGAGGTCTGAAAAATAAAACCTTTCAAACGTTATTGCTCTCAGACAATATTCTGTTGTATATGGTTGTCTCAATTCCCTTAGTTCAACCATTTGTCATTTTGAAGAGAGATGTGAATAGTTGGTGTCCCTACCAGCGCAATCAATGAATGAGAGGAAGCATCCCTGGTGGCTCTTCATGAATACATCGATATGGCACAATACGATCGTATAGCAGAAGGTCATAGTGTTAGCATTGTAGAAAATCGAGGTTAAAGGTTAAAGTATTAGCATTGGTTGCTGTAGCAGATAATATAGCTCAATTACTGGTGGCAACGTATCTGACATTTGTTATGTTCTATACGAGGTCTCGCGGGAAGAGACGTGGGTTTTAGTAATAGCGCTTCGCATACTTTTCCGCAGAACTGTTGTAATATACATGTATATGTAAACGGATATTACGGATACAACAAAATGTAGATTAGTTTCATGAGGAAAGCCATTGTTGCGATATTTCACAGTACTGAAAACCTATCGAAAACCATTGACATCTGACAAAGAATCCCCCGATGCCGCCATCTTGTTTTTGATATATGACAAGGTGTACTCCAAACAAAGCTTGACCTAAAATAAATATGATTTAATATGTTATATTTCACTGCGCAGGCACTTTTGCTTTGATTTATTCTTCTCTCGTTTCTTTAATATTTAATTTTTTCCTTCTGATGTTAGAAATACATTATAGTGCCAGTTTAATGCCGTTTATGTGTTGAAGTTTAGTGGTAAATATAGCTGTACCACCACGGAGAGTACATTGATCTCTCCTGGCACGTACTTGATCACGGAGATGTCGTTCCTAATAACCCCGCCATGCGCCGAAATAAGTAGATTCCCATCACGTATAGCATTCTCTCCCCTTTGTTGTTCTACGTCATGACAATTTCTATCTTTCATCTTAAAACGATGTTATAGATGCAAAGCACGCACATATTTCGTTTTTTAGAAGTTTAATTAAGGTTTCTGAAAATGGAATTCTGTGACCGTATTAAATACAAAAATACCGTCAAAAACCTGTACAATTTAATTCTGTGGAAGACTTCTGCAATGGCCGACGGTTACGTGGTACTGCGCGTGTCTAACTCTCGTACTTTGCATTGTTGTATTTAGAAATTGTTGTATGATACTGGATAATTAATGTTGGTTACTTAACAATAAAACAATCGATGGTAGAAATCGCCTTTCTTGTGATCTAGCAGGTTTTAATCACGGTCGAGCAAAGGAAAACGTATACGTAAAATCCGCAAAAACGTTTTGAGAATAATCCTTCAAAAAGGAAATAAGTTCCATACTACCAACTAATTGTTCCGATTTCAGTAGAATAACGGAATACGTATTTTATTAAGCCTTAAAATAAAGCCCGGCCATTTTGCTCTTTTGTCCATAAATCGAAAATTAAAGAACAGCTAAAGGTTTATGTAACAGTTGGAAAATATATATTTTAGATCATCCGCTTTGAAACTTATTTTAGATGATTCCGGATAAGAGCGAGATACCACCACGCGACCTGAACTTTAGAAATCACTAAAAAGTCACTCAATCGGTCCAGTCAGATATTCTATATATTGGTGGTATCAAACTTCAGGATTGTTCATACCAAGCAGAGACAGCGACGTCAACATTAACTTAGGAACGAGACACTAAGATGTCGGTACGCAGGTGCCCGTATGATTTACTTTCTTGTCTCGCTCCTTGGTACGCAAGTGCAATGGTAACTCATTACACTTTAAAAAGAAACCATCCACAACAACAGACATGGACAGTTGTATTCTCATAAAAAGTGAGATTTATTTTTGTCGATATATTGCATGCAAGCAATACCACAGAATCCCCGCTATTCGGACACGGATTGCGTACGATATCGTCTAATAATACAGTCCAGACAGGGAAAGACGCCAAAGTTATGCGGTCACGATATCTCTGGATTGTGGTCAACAACTAGCCAAGATTCCTTGTCTAAGGAAATACACTAGATCCCTGTCGAAAACAGGCTGCTCAGCTTTATCTCTGTACAATGTTTACAAGTATGGACATAAGTTGCTGTTGTAGTGTGTTTTATAATCCTTCACTTTAAATAAATAACTCCCTAACACACAAAACCGTTATTGATATAGTTTGACTATTGGCAACCCTAAACAAAACATTAAGGAAGTCGGTGTGGACTATCCTGAGATTCGTTCATCGTGTTTAAATTTTCCTGACCATTTCTTGTTAGATCTTACTGCAGTTATGCCGGTAGTAATATTGATTGAAGAGAACACATTTACGACAAATAAAGAATTGCATGTATTTCTTATATATTAGTATGTACATGTATGTGTGATGGTCAGAGAGTACAATTAAGTTACCATACATCACTTACCAGAAAGTCACTCCATTATCAATTAACAGAACGTTCTTAACCTGATTCATATAAAGATAGACAAAGATAAGATGAAGGCATTTGAACTTTATATTCACAATTGATACAAATTCACATTTTTTTGTGAAAATAATTCATATAGATTCTGAAAACACTGACGTCATCAATTATCAGCAACGTATTTCAGTGGGATACTTTAACAGGCAGTTTGTTAACCCTGAAAATGTCTCGACGTCTGATGTTTGTTTGCCATCAACGTCTGACCGAAATTTTAGCTCGAACGCGTTAATAATTCTGTTTGTTCATCAACACTTATTGTCATTTTCTCGACAAAGATTGTCTTGAACACGGTAAAATCCCTATGACGTACTATATGGCTTATTGCATGACCCGAGTGATGATAACTAGTTTTTTCAGTTGAATGATGTCCTACTATTTATTTCATTCTTTTTTTTCTTTTCTTTTTTTTTTTTTTTTTTAGATTTTATGAAGGCTTTAAATGGAAAAACTTTTGATTGCTTATTAAAAACATACTGAAATATAAATGTATATCCAAAGACCCCTACCTCAAACCTAGTACTATCCTGTCTGGTACCATATTAGATATAAGTATTCGATAAACACATATGTATATAAATAGAAGTCAACGTCTTTAGGGAGATGGGAATCCATCCTAGCACTAAAGCTTGTTGTACATGCAAGTATTTCACTGTACGCTATAACACTGGCTTTTGTTGTTGTTTTTTTTTTTCAAAAAGATGAGAAACGGAATAGGTTGTGCTGATGTGAATGTGTCCTTGGGCAATACACTATATTCTAATTGCTCTGGATGGCATTGGTGTGTCTCCCGTATTGTGCTCAGTGAGGTAGTTATCAGTTACTTCAAGGAGGCCCCGCTTCAAAATGATCCTTGCTGTTCACGGGGCAGTAAAGCATGCTACAACAAATATACATGTTTCTCTTTTTGACACCTGTCTGTGTGTTAAAATGCCTAATTATCTTATTAGTTGTTGTGTGTAAGGACCATCATCTTATTGGCAAGTCAATTGAGTGTCGTGGTACGTGCCATCATCTTACTGATAAGTTTATTAAGTGTCGTGGTACGTGCCATTATCTTACTGATAAGTTTATTAGGTGTCGTGGTACGTGCCATCATCTTACTGATAAGTTTATTAGGTGTCGTGGTACGTGCCATCATCTTACTGATAAGTTTATTAGGTGTCGTGGTACGTGCCATCATCTTACTGATAAGTTTATTATGTGTCGTGGTACGTGCCATCATCTTACTGATAAGTTTATTAGGTGTCGTGGTACGTGCCATTATCTTACTGATAAGTTTATTAGGTGTCGTGGTACGTGCCATTATCTTACTGATAAGTTTATTAGGTGTCGTGGTACGTGCCATCATCTTACTGGTTAGTTTATTAGGTGTCGTGGCACGTGCCATCATATTACTGATTATGGTATTGGTAGTCAAATATGGTGTTGCGGTTGACCTCCAATAATATGGGGAACGAAAGATGGAAACCGCTAATCATATCTTCATCTTTCCTATCCTCGCTTAAAAAAATAATTTATTGTACGATATTAACCATGAAGTTTCTATAAAGGTTTCTTCATAACATAAAGAGAATTGAGAATATCAAATATCATTTCGCTGCGAACAATATTCTACATTGTTGTAGTCTAAAGACGCGTTTCTGCAGTTGATACGAAAATAAACTGTTTACATTATCTGTATAAGCAATAACTTACAGATAAACGTATCTTAAATCACCTTCTACTCCGATTACGTTTTACGCAGCTTCCTGTGTTATATGTTATGTTAAATATGATAACGTCTCAATGTTTATTGTTACAGGCGATCGAGATACCCTTCCTGGAGGCTGTAAAAATAACTCTCGGAGACCGCTACAGTGAAAACATGGACACTATCTACAAAATTACAATCAAGTTTGTACTGCAAACGATGGTAGATGGATACGATACGTCCAACGCCGTGTCCTGAGGTCACGTGATTATGACCATGTCGCTGTGGACGTACAAACGTGCCAACACGGTAATAGACAAGCATGAGATAGTGGATCTACCACGATTTCTCCGGAAATTTCCCGGAAATTTGGCCTGCTGGCACGTGTAGCATGTAGCTTTCAGGCTGGTGATGGCTGTTGTAGATCGGGATATACGACGCTTACCTAAGTGATATGGTTACAAGCAGTCGGCTAGGTTGTAGCACGATTGTTCTGGGGCTGACATAACCTTCTCGTATTGTATAGATAAAGGGGTACGTGTCAGTTATAAAATGACCATCTAGAGAAGATCCCGCAATGTGTTATACATTTGTACAGTCATCCGCAGAACGGAAAACGTCCATGGATGAACGAGAACATTGCGAAAATGACTGCATGAATGAATATGTGAAAAGGTGTGGATATAAGCAGATATTGAAAGGAATTTAAGGAGGCTTGAGTGCTCCATGTTGTCGTAGCTATAGACATCTTCTGTACCGTAATATCATGTTTTAAATAAGTATTAAGAGTTATCTGACCTGGATCTTAAATACTTACAAATGTACATAACGGCTATGATCAGTTTGTGGGCATAATATAAAATGTAGCCCATTTCCTCACACATAAACACCATAGAGAGATATTCACCCAGGCAATGTCGATAAATTCCCCTGGTAGTGTTGCTTAATACACAAGAATCTCGGTAGCTAGGGTTTTAGCGAATCTGAATATTTCAGATTATCAATTTTCATTATTTTTTTTTTTTTTTTTAAATTTTTTTTTTGGGGGGGGGGGTCTATCGATTCAGATGAAAGTTAAGCAGAGTTAAGTTCATGTCTACTGGACTGATTTTATCATTTATACACATACATACAAACACAGTTGAAATTATGAAAGCATTATTGAAGTTTCATTTTTTATCGTCCCAATTGCTTTCCTTGGGCGTTCCTCCAACCAGATTGCTTTTTAACTGCTCCTTAGGCGGAAACAGAAACGCTAAATAATGAATCAAAATAAATAGAAATATCGACGACCATGGAAAACACAAATTAAATTAATTTACAAACAGAAGATTCCAAAAATCTCGTTAACATGCAAACGTTGTCTGCAACACATATCACAATAACAAAGATATACCTTGTCTCATGTAGTCAGATTATCGTTTACATGTGTGAACAAATGAAAGGATTCTGGCTGCATTGTCGTCAACTTGCACATTTGGGATTTGCCAATAAACTTTGCAGTCACACATTTAAAATGAAAGCACTATTGATTTTTCCGTGTTGCGTGAAATGGGATTTCCACTGTTATTTTAAGAGGACCAGCATATCCCCATGGTGTTATGTTTCAGCGCTGATTTTTATTTATTGGAGAAATCCTGAATGATAAATAGACTATGGTATAAGTCAAAACTGGTATAACTTTCCTTTATAAGTCATTAAAAAGTACCTTGTAAAGGAGAAAATAATTTTCAAAATAGCGTACAAATTATGCCAAGCTGAACCAACCATCGCCATTTTTAGTTGATTTGTTTTATTCGTTTGCCTCCAATGCATATTGTATGACAGGTATTCGTCACAAGGCATTACAATATAGGATGAAAGCCATGGAATTGTATATTTTTTTATTTCTTTAATTGCCGCTATAAAATCTAATGGAGTTATATTTTATGTAACCTAATGTTCTAACCTAAGTTTTTAAAGTACTCGGTTTGTTTTGTGAGCTATTTCACTAAAACCATTTCTCATTTTATATTAGTAACTTGTTGTCCTGCAGCTAAATGTGTTATTTGTGTGTGTTATCTATTGCCTTATAAACTTGAAACCCTCCTGTTTGATGAGAATGCATATTGTTCTTGCATAATGAATCTCCTTTTTATACGGGTGACCTAGCTCCTTTAACCTTATCTTCTTGTTGTATGGGTAAAAGTCTGTCTGTTCACTATTAATTATCTTTGAATGAGTAACATCTTGTCCAACAAGTGTAGCGTAATCCCACTGTCACACAACTGTTGATCTCTCCTGTTTTGTAGTGATAATCCAACAACATTTTTTCATATCCGGTGGTTCCGACCTTTCCTTATGATCATTTAATGTGTGTGATCACACCCGACAATAATTCTTTTTACTTTTTACCATCCTCTGATTTTAGTAAAGAGTTACAATATTGGTCATCATCGCCCCTTTGCAACAAAATCGTTCCCCATAATATATAACTCTCTCCGGAACAAAGGAGTTGTACATGTATGTCTGTTATGGTTCTGAATGGACTTGACTGTGTAAAGTAAAAGAGTGTAAAAACAACACGTTTGAAAGCGTATTGATATTGAATTTTGCATATTTAAGTTAACGAACATTATTATGACAATATGTTATTATTTATTGTTTATTTACACATGAAATATATTGTATTGATTTATGATGTATGACAGAATGTGTTACTGCTGGATTGCAAATTTTGTAAACATCTCGTATTTGCCATGGCATATTGACTCTCGAGACATGCATATTTACGGATGTATGTGAGTTCCAGCTGGTCATCTTTTAAACTAACATGATGATGTAGCGATCGTCATATCCACAAGGGCTATTACAACGTATTTGGTCCGTGCATATGACAATGTTATGCCATACACTACACTAAAACATGTGTCTCCGTTATCGAACGCACCTATTGCTAGTTATAAGTAGGAATTTTCTTGTTCTCTTTTAACATTGTATTACTCATCTGAAGTCTCTGTACCATTGCAGGGATAGTAAGGCCAATAGAATGCCTGTCTTTGTAGCATTGCATGCATAGAACAGTGAATAGGATGCTTGTCTCTGTGGCATTGCAGGGAAAGGACGGTAAATAGGATGCTTGTCCCTGTGTCATTGCAGGGAGAGAACGGTGAATAGAATGCTTGTCTCTGTGGCATTGCAGAGATAGAAAGGCCAATTGAATGCCTGTCTCTGTGGCATTACAGGGAAAGGACGGTGAATAGGATACTTGTCCCAATGGCATTGCAGGGAGAGAACGGTGAATAGAATGCTTGTCTCTGTAGCATTGCAGGGATACGATCGTGAATAGAATGCCGTATTGTTATCTTTTCATTCCTCTTAGCTGTGCTCGGTAATTTATTTTCGAATAGCTGATTAAAATATTGATTCAGAATGCAGTCAGAATGGAAATTAAGCTTTTAATATTGATATTGATGCAGCCAAGTAATTAGGCGGCATTTTCAAACCTTAGTGAAAATTGTGTTATCACTTTTTTACCCTCTAGCTATTCGGTCATCTATACTGTTTTTTTTTTTTCATAAAAAAATAATTGCATTCATTAGCCAGTTAATTGGCACGTAGGTTATCGCATCTCTGCTTTATAGTTTCGCGCTACACTGATGCGATACCATCAACAGGAGATCTGGAGATAAAGAAATATTTCCCTCAGTAATCGGTGCCGTGCCTGCTGCTTGTTTGTACGTGAGGGAGAGATATATGTAGATGCTGCTGGATACCGCCATATTGGAAATACAAAATGCTGAAAAGACAACTCTGAAATGAACGAAATTCCGACCAACTTTATCATCAAAATTTCTGCAATCTTCTCTCACTGAAGAGAAAATAATTCACCTTCAAGGACGATGCATCTGAAGTGCTATGCTAGATAGCTTATAGATGTGTTTTGGGTTAGTGACTGTTTTTCATCCCTTAACGATCATTAAAGCTCATTATAATAGGGTTTAAATTGTATATGTAAGAAAATGCAGGTCGTCATGACGACCACAAAAAGTAGCTATTGGTCCCAGGTATCATTAACCATCAAAGATACGCATATCAAAGTCATGGGTGATATACAGCGGATATAAAAGTGTAATTTACGTGTGTCTCCATGAAAACCATCCTTATTCCTAACATTTTCGTTTTTCATACAGTGGCCACTAGGTTTCACTTTAAAATCTAGCGAAGAAAAAAAAATCATTGAGAATATTGTTACTGTGTATTATTGACATCGATATACAGTCTTATTTTTAGAGTTTATGGCTGTATATTACATATTTTAACGTCAAATTGTTCAAGTTTAATTGATCCGTATGTATGTGACATTGTGTAATGGATCTACTATATGTAATGTACGCGAGACTGCCATGCTTACTCACGGTATACCACTGTATGTCATTGGGTGTTGATAATTCAGTTACTTGGAGAAGAGTTACCATGTAAGTATGCTGTGTGAAATGCGTGTCAATATAGAACCTTATAGTTGTCATAATCTGACAACAATATAATAAACATATGACATATTAATCTGGTGTTCTTGTTTGTGTGTCTGTAAATATAAGCTCTTTGAGCATATGGCGACGACAATCTGGTGATATCCGGATTCACGTCAGCGCAAGAATACCGAGTCATCATTATGTTTCTAGATTTTGTTTGAAAGCAAATTTTATTTCAAATATATTTTTTTAATAGTTTACTTTTATCTCAGACAATATCATGACAAATTAAGCTTTGTAGTTTAGATATGCAACTTTTGTTTAAAATTTTGTCATGGTGTACCACAGATCAACATTATATATAGGTAATGTCACGCAGATGTAGATGGACATAAAATATCATTTTTCTTTACAAAGATGAGATTATCAATAGCAAAAAAAATCATCTGAGGAAAAAAATTAATTAATTCCGTGTGTCTACGATATTGATCAAACAAATCGTTGTCTTTGCAACAATTTCAACGATCAAATGTCGTTGAATTACGCAGCAGTCTGGTCGACTCTTTTTCTATTATCAAAATTCTAGCATCGTCATCTTGCAGTTATGGAACTATACTACCATACAATGTAATGGCATGTTAAGGGTGTTCTTAGTATAGACTTTAAATCACAAGTCCACATCCCTCCACCTCCGCTAACCTGCTTCTTAATGGCAAATGTGATATGTGCATGACTAGAATAAAAATCAATTTAAACGTATTATTCATGAATTTGGAGCTGAAGAGTGCAACAACAGCAGACGAACCTATCGAACTGGTCTACAAAATGACACTTCGGTCTTGAAATCAAGTACAAGCAATCACGTGATAAAGTTAAATGAGATTAATCTTGATTGGAGACTAATACAGTAATACTGGTGACTACCAACGAGCCTCGGCGTCTATATGCAGCCTTTAATATACCATTGGTTTCCATTTGCTAGCTTCGTGTTGAAACGTTATTTTTTTAATTTCTAAATTGTAAAAATCTGGAAAAAAATCATGTGCAGTCTACATTTATGGGAAGAAAATGTCATTCTCAAGCAAACTCCGGTAAAATTCCAGAAAGAGCGTGGGGAAGGGGATGGAGTTGTTGAGTCATGCACTTTGTAATGATAACCAACACACAACATGGCCGAAGATCACGCCACTTTGGTGGCAGTCACCGTTGTGCCCTACGTAAAGGTAAATCATAAGAAAAGGGGAAAGACACATACCCTATACATTTCGGGAAGGAAAAACTGTGCGTCGCATAATATTCAGATTGTCTACAAATCTATTGATGTGTTTTTGTTTTGTTTTTGGTTTTTGTTTGTTGTTTTTTATTGTTTTTTATTATTATTATTATTTCTTTTTATTTGTATTTTATCCCACACCTTAACATTGTTGTACGACAAATGTCAAGGTTTATCAAATTCACGTTTTTTACGTAAATATTGAAAAGCATGTGAGTATATAAAAAAATATAAATATAAATATTTATATATATATATATATATATGCCTCTTGCAATAAATAAAATAAAGCATTGTCTCATAAACGCAGTCAATGAACACAAATATATGACCAGTCTACTTTCGATTTACACTTATAAATTATCAAAATAGCGATTAGGAAAGGGGAAACTAATGTAATAAACAGCATTAGTAATGCGTTTATGGAAGTAAGGACTGAATGGAATAAAGACATATATTGCTATTTATTTCATGTGACTATCGACATTTGATCTTTAAGAATTTTACTTGGACAAAGATTACATACGATTGGCAAGGTGTATGTACTATAAAAAGGAGGGAGATGATTACATAAGCGTACGTTAATAGATGATTCCGATGGTGCTTTTCGCCATATCACAGATGTCTGAGCCAGAAGCATTTAACAATCTAATACAAATGATGGAACACCGGAAACCATTGTGTTGCTGTGGTGGGTACAATTAGATCAAAACCTCAGCATACAATAGTTGCCATCCTCTCCATTTCTATATCCCTGTGATCGAATTCCTTGTGTAAATAAATATTGATCTCTTATGGTTTCACATGTTCCGGATAGTTTGGTCAGGATGACGAGGACGAAATATTGACGTCCTCGCTGCTCATTAACACTTCTGCCTACATTACTCGACGATTCGTGTGTCCGCATGTCTATGACACGAGGATGTTATATTGAACATAGAATGTATAATCAAGAACATCCTGATCTAGGCCGAAAACTTGGAATACTAGCATTAGCAAATCAAGAACTGGTATATAATTATAAATCAGAAATTCTGTAGTTCCTGGATCTGACGTCTCAAATGACAATAATTATAAACATTATCATTGTATCACTGAGACCGGTATAGAGGATCGTAACGATCCTGCACTGGTAATAAACTAAACTAAACTAAACTAAACGAAACTATACTGGGTATCATAATCATATTCACCATCAAATCTGGTTTATTTTGGATAAATGCTGTTTAAATTATTACTCCGCTGTGATCTTAGGAGTTCAATGCAAAAATAGCACGTAAAATTCAAACATAACACAATTGAATTACGAATAAAAACATTGATCATTGTACATACATATATTTAATGGACTCAAGTATAATACAAGTATAGAAGTATACATACTTACAATATACATTAATAAAAGTCAAACATATACAATAGTCGTCACCTTTAAATGACTTTTCTGTATGAGGTCGACATTATATTTACATATTTTTTGCATATATTTACATTTCTGTTGCAAAACTCGTTTGAACTCGTGTACATCTACTCTGTCAGAAAAAAAAACTATGTTCAGATGGCTACATAGCAATTTGGTCAATATCACTTTTACGCTTCACTGTCGGCCTTGCATAACACGAAGTCATCGCAAAAAGCAAACATTTAGGTGATTGACTAACTCATGAAATATGTTTTTTAGATTCTTAAATGTACATATGTGATACGTGTAGTTTCGAATGATATAGGAAACGAGCTAAAACCCTATTTCAGTAAGCATACCACATATGCAATTCTAAATTTTCTAGCAAAGCAAATAATTTCAGTGTAGGTTAAAGAAGGGTGTGTTGTATTGTGATAAAGCAACCCTCCTTTATTACTGCTGGCCTTGTATATCGAAGATCTTCACTTATTATCTCAGTATTAAGCTGTACCACAGGAACATTTACTGATACTGTGTTGAGTTCATCCTGTATCCTGTTAGAGGATCTGACAATATTTGGAAGTTGACTTATAGTACATGTGAAATCGGCGACATCCGTCAATCAGTCTCATAAATATATCTATCTAGTTTTTATTCTTTATCACGACTTCCGTATTGCCCAGATTTTTTTTATCTCGAATGAGTATGTTTCTAATACAGAATAATGGAGGAAACATATCAAGTTAACTTCTACATTTTAATCTTAATTCTTTTTTGTTTAAGAGCCTGTTGGACATATTTGCCAAGATATTCAACTTATTTTGGTTTTAAATATGGCAGGCAACAAATAATAAATCTATATGACATATACATAAATATTTATGTAATGAAAACAAAGAAGTTGTCTAATAGTGTAATTCTTGGTATATCAGAAATTACATTTTTTCCCGTTTATGGAGTCAGAATTCAAACCAATCAGTACACTCTGTTCGTCAATAGACAGATTAAACTACTGCATTATCGCATAAAGCGCGCACTGCCCTATTGCTTAAGAAAGTCCCAGTTGCGGAAAAAGTGTTGTGCAATACGACGCAGTGTTCGCACGTGATTTAAATGTAGGAGTTTACGATCGATGTTAGATGTAGAACTCTGATTGTACATCTGGTACACCCACGTTTGATATGTGCCTATTCTCGTAAACACCACAGACGAACGCCCACGAGACCGTCACATAACGGAAACTGAAATCCGCCCTTGCTTTCATACAAATTGTCGCTTGGTTGAGTACCTGTGTACTGCCTTGGTTGGCCTTCGTACCACATTTTCGCTTATTTGAAATCTCAGTTTCTGCAAATTTGTAGCATCAAAACATGTATGGTATTGCTTTTATTAAATGTTCTCAATACCTGTTCTTAATGTGCATAAAATTGAGCGAGGGACATTTTAGTTAAAGAATATCTGAAGACATAAGGATGTCTAGGCCGAAATTATGACGGCATGCCACTACATGTTTGTCAAAAAGGCTCAAACATGTTTAAAACCATTTCATGTTCCAATTGGTCGAATAAAGAATAGCGATGGGTAGGTTCTAGCAAGGCAGGAAGAAATCGCTACCAGGGATACAACCAGAGTTGTCTGGCAAGCACTAGGGCTAGAAACTTACTTTATGTATTTAATCAATTAAAGTGTTGTAAGTGTTAATTATAACGAGAATGTTGATACTTTCAGCAACCCTGATCATCACTTTGATAAAACTAGACTAGATGTAATGAGAAAAAAAATGAAAATTCTATTAATGAACGGTTTTGTGATAATATCATGAAGTTCCATATGCTATAATAAGCCTTTGTCGAGTTTACAAATTCTAAAATTCACCGGACTTGTTCGATCCTTTCTCAGGCCGGTTTGTGTTTGTATGGAAGCAGTTAGAGATCACGGATTTTTATGGCAAACACTTTACTCTAATTGTTTTGGATGGCAGTCGATGGGTGTCCTGTTTGTTGATCAACGAGTTTACGTCTTCTACTCCGAAACTCCGCCTCAAAATTATCCTGTCTGTTCTAGTGGCGATAAATATGATGTTAGGCAGTTTGAACTCACAAGCATGTTCCTCATATCATTCATGTTTAAGTACATGAAATATCGCCTATTGTCGTTAAATGTGACAAATACAATAAAATACATAACCGGATTTTATCATTTTACCATCTTAAACCAAGATGGCGGTTATTCAGTCACATTTACGAACACGTTTATTTTCTCTCTCTCTCTTACTCTAAAGGTGTTTATTTGAACTTATTTTCTAAGATTCTTTTTCTTTCAATGGTCATTTAGATAATCAATTATTATTATAATTCTAAGATTTATACATATGATATACATATGATATTGAAATATGCTAGATGTCCATTAAAATGTTTGTTTCAAGATGTCTCTAAGTGTCCAGAATGCCAGCACTGAGTCGTAATATAGACGTTTTGTTGTGTGACTATAGACCGTTGTATATAGCTAACGACCCTGATCTAATGACACCTCAGTAGCAGTCATTCTTTTTAGTTGTGTTTAATAAGAAACATTTAAAAATTTAAATTTAAAAAAAAGCTTGTCGAAACAGGTACTTGTTACTGACGTTCGTCCCATGATAATTCTATCATAAACTGAAAAAAAAACCTTTTTTATTTATTTTTTAATTTCTTTTACGTGCTTTCTGGCTGTGTAAAATCCTCGTTAAAGAAATAAAGAATTTAATTGAATTAGAAGTCCCACAGTAATGAAATTAACACATTTCTTGTAGTCTTGTTGCCTTTTAAGGAATTTCTTTTTGTTTGGGTCATCAGTGATAACTACAATTTAAATCCTATTAATTAAATAGTTAATTATTCAATTTACTTCGGTTCATTTGTAGTCATGTCCAAATAGTCTGCACAAACCATTCATTCCTACGTTTTCACTTAACCGGCCACGTTCTTTTCCATTCCATGTCATTAATTACCTACAGACTGTTAAAACATTCGTATTATCTGTTCATATTCCAGATACAAAAATATGACACTAAACTTCATTACATCATTCTTAATTTGATAAAAACAGTAATCACAAACCTAAAGTTGGCTTGTAATGTTGATTATCCTAAATCGGAAGTAAGGAAAGGGTCACCAAGCAGACATCGGAAAAGGCTAATAAATAAAATATTCTGAATATTATTTCAAATCTTAAGAAAATATTGAAAATGCCAAAGATGCTTTCGAGGTAGCCATTTTTAATTCATGACGTAGAGTTCGTTGTCCTGAGTAGGACGTCATACTTTATCAACTGGTATATGAACGATTTTTTAAAAAAAAATGCTAAGTGTGACGTCATCTATTCATACATGTACATATTTATATATCCCCTCTTCAGAAAAATGTACCAATAAAAATGTTACAGTCTTTGAATAAAAACTGTTACATGTAAACGTTACCAATATGAATTTGTTAAGAGCCTTCAGTCATACTGTCAGTTGTAATTGGGAACCAACCACAACCAGTGTTAAATTCAATTTCTGACTGAATTCCTAAAAGTCAGCACTGTTATATGTACTTCAGGACTTCTGGATATTTTACTTGTAAAGAATAGCTCTTCAAATGTTTATATAATGTGTTTTAGTTAACAATATTAAGTCATGAAAGATGTAGTGGGTTGTATTTGTTGTTTCCCATTGTTGAACAGTATAAAGCCATTTTTCACGTCCTATAGCAGACAGACTACAATGGTTTGAATACCATCAGTTATTAATGTAACTCAATGGCCTTGTTGATAATGTGACTATGTGATAAACAGATGTTTTCATGAATTATTTATCAATCAGAAATCGTATGTAAGTATGGCATTATCTATGGAAACTCAAAAGTAATTGACAGTTGATCCCGATAACATAAACAAAACCACAGCTAGATAACCGGAAGTATCACTTAATAGACAAAAATATCAAAACACGACAAAAGCATATTCATATACTACTCCATAGTAAAGCATTTCATTATCACACATCTAGGTGAAGCGTATGGAGTAAAATGTGAACAAAACAGACACGCATACAGCGTGTGAAATTGTTCTACATTTCCATATATAGAGAATATAATCCCATTCCACGCGCCGAAGATCTGATGAACGCCCTCACACCACATGCTGCCTGTGGTCCAGAACAAACACGACACGATATATGCAAATGCTTGGAAGTCTTGCTATCGTTGGTAGTAATATAAGGCATTTTCACCAACACAACATTAAATGAGAATATGACAATTGAAACTGGTACATGTGTTGTGAGTATATATATAGATATATATGATAATGTTGAGACCTACAACAATGTAGCATGCATGAGCTGTTGTCTCCTCTCATGTCAGAACGGCCATAAAGCAATACCATAGTATTTAATGGTTGAAGGCATTCCGTGAGGTTTTCACTCTATGTGTTCTCACTCCACGTGCAAGGATGAATTTTCAACCATGTAATCGATTTCTCTTAATGCACTTGGTCTCAATTTCACAATATTTGTCCATTCGTCATTGCTATCCACATAATCTTCATGTTTTTGCTTGCTCCTTATTTGTGACATCTCTTTCGCGCACACAACAATGCTCTATTTTTGTCACTTCCGGTTGTTCTTTTGAATGATCTGTTACTATGATTTTTTGCTCGACAGGGTTGTTGTTATCGAGAAAACCATCCTCAAGCGTTTTCAAGATAAAATCGATCGTGATCTCATAAACGTTTGACATGTATTCTGTGTATCGGTCCCCAAGCGTTATTTTCACAGCTTCAATGAAAGGCTCTCGAATTTTCTGTGAAAATAAAGATAGAAAATTAATTAATAAATTGCAATATCAAAACCGAAATTGTAAAAGTATCCTCAAGTATGCAAAACAACATTCAGGGACTTTCGATTTTGATGATGTTGCAAATAGTATTTGCGTGTAATATTACATAATGTTACATAGCAGGTCTTTATAAAGTGTTACTACAAGGAAATTCGATCGACGTAAAATGAGATGGTTCTCGCCTAATGATGTGATAATCCGACAAATCGTAGGTATTTTAACCCCAGTCAGTAAAATATGTCATACACCCTAAAAAATTTAATACTTGACCCGAGTCAATGACATAGAGACCTGTTTTTATGACTAAGTTACTTGTTTTTACGACTATGTAACCTGAGTTAATGACACAGAGAACTGTTTTTACGACTATGTGACCTGAGTTAGTGACAAAGAGACCTATGTTGCAACAAAGTGACCTGAGTATATGACATAGAGACCTGTGTTTGTGACCTGGTTACTTGAGTCAATGACATATAGACCTGTGTTTACGACTAAGTGACCTGTTTTTACGACTAGGTGACCTGAGTTAGTGACATATTAACCTGAGTTAATGACACAGAGACCTGTTTTTTCGACTTAATGACCTGAGTTAGTGACATAGAGACCTATGTTGCAACGAAGTGACCTGAGTATATGACATAGAGACCTGTGTTTGTGACCTGGTTACTTGAGTCAATGACATAGAGACCTGTGTTTACGACTAAGTGACCTGTTTTTACGACTAGGTGACCTGAGTTAGTGACATATTAACCTGTGTTAATGACACAGAGACCTGTTTTTTCGACTTAATGACCTGAGTTAGTGACATAGAGAACTATGTTGCAACAAAGTGACCTGAGTATATGACGTAGACTTGTGTTTGTGACCTGAATTAATAATTTAATGTAATGACTTAATATGTGTGAGGAACATTAAGTAGCATAAAGATATGTTTAAAACATGTGGTGCTAAAATCACTATGATATAAAAATCACTGTTTTGGTAGAATGTCGTATCATTAAATACCAGAATAACAGAAGTACATCATGGCGTATGATGCGTTCGGTCAGAAGTATCCGTAATTTCCAGGGTATCGTGTGATATTACTTGATTTCTAGGATTAAAACAGTCGTATTTCATACATTTATATTACAACAACCGAAAAAAGGTCAGAAAAGCGGCAGGGGCAGAGATAGAAGATATTAAATCGGTGTTGATGATGATGTGATGACGGTGTTGGACCAACTTATTAAAAAATATGGCGATTTAATGGTATCGTGTAAAGGATAGAATCAGTGTAATCAAACAAAATATTGGCATCCCGAGACCCATATGTTGGAATCACAAAGTGCTGGAAGTAATCAATTTATATTTAAAATACGGCCTTATTGTCTGTATTGTCATGTCGAATCATTGGCGGAAACATGCACGGTGAAATTTGCAGGAAGCATATATGCAAAAAAAAATAACTCGCTAATTTACGCAATACACATAGACTGTCTATATATAGATCTCTTTCAAGCTGAATCCAAGACCAGCTTAAACTGTTCTGTAACATTTAATTGGAACAGGTGCGTGCCAATTACGATCCTTGCGCCTCGTACGTTAACCTACGTCCTTACAATAGACTAAATAATTACAGCGAAGCGAAGTAGTCCTCGGGAGAGAAGGCCGACATCCAAACAGTTGCGGCCACTCCTCGATTGCTTAGTGACAAAACCTTCCTGTCCCTGTCTCGTCTACACCATTCGAAGAAATCAGTTGAAATCGTATTACATTTTCTCTTCCGGAAAAAAATTATGGAATCCTATTTTTTTTTTTTTTTTTCTTCTTGAATAAGGAGATTGTAATGAAGGTATGTGGTGTATAGGAAACCTACAATACTGTTATACACAACAGTGCAATATGGGAGAGTTGAAGTCTTTTCTTACTTAATCATCTCTCAGAATTGCCATTGTAATCTAATTTAACTTTTGTGTATAACATTCGTATCACGGAAGATCATACGAGGGCATAACACATTGTGAAACCCTCTTTAGATCATATATGAAAACTGTCTACAGTCACAATCAACATGACTACACCTACAGTCACAATCAACATGACTACACCTACAGTCACCATCAACATCATTATCCCCACAGTTACAATCACCATGGCTACACCTACAGTCACCATCAACATCATTTCCCCCAGTTACAATCACCATGACTACACCTACAATCACCATCAACATCATTTCCCCATCAGTCACAATCTCCATGTCTACACATACAATCACCATCAACATCATTTCCCCCAGTTACAATCACCATGACTAGAGTCATAATCACCATGACTACACCTACAGTCACAATATCAACATCCTGTCACTCACTCTCACAATTACCATGTCTCGACTTTACGTATTAATCATCATAACCAAATCACCATGTCTATACCTACAGTCATAATCACCATGTCTACACCTACAGCCAATATCACCATGACTACGCCTACAGCCAATATCACCATGTCTACACCTACAGTCATAATCACCATGTCTACACCTACAGTCATAATCACCATGTCTACACCTACAGCCAATATCACCATGACTACGCCTACAGCCAAAATCACCATGTCTATACCTACAGCCAATATCACCATGACTACGCCTACAGCCAAAATCACCATGTCTACACCTACAGCCAAAATCACCATGTCTATACCTACAGTCAATATCACCATGACTACGCCTACAGCCAAAATCACCATGTCTTTACCTACAGCCAATATCACCATGTCTTCACCTACAGCCAATATCACCATGTTTACACCTACAGCCAAAACCACCATGTTTACACCTACAGCCAATATCACCATGTCTTCACCTACAGCCAAAATCACCATGACTACACCAACAGCCAAAATCACCATGTCTACACCTTCATTCATAATCACCATGGTTACACCTATAGCCATTATCACGACCAGCTCTACATTCATTATCTCTGGGTAACCTGTTGCTAAATCTACCAGAAATACACTATATAAACCATACAACACGGGAATTCTGACCATTTTAGCTCAGATCCGCCTCTGATTGAATATCTAAAGAGAGGAAATGTTTTACGTTCCGAAGAATTACAATTACAGATATTACCGCTACTTTTAATCAATTACTATTTGTTTTACTGACTTGTATTTCAATACATACGCCATTGAACAACTCTATACTGTTGTCGTGTGTATCTCTGTGTCTGTGGTATCGATCCTGGAACATCCTTGGAAATCCAATGAAAATGTTTTTCTTTTTTCAGCTGATGCCTTGATCCCATAAATCCGGAGGAATTCTTTTGGAACCGATACCTTTGACTCTAGCTTAGAGCTACACCTAATTCAACTATCGATATGCAGTGTAATTATTAGTATATTTGATTCTGTATAAGATATATCTTCCCGTATCATTCTCCCTACAAGTGATATACACTCGTTCACTCTCTCCAACGGTTGTCTCCAACACGTTAAACTCGACAAAAAATCGTCAGCTCTCAAACGTACAAACAACTGCGTCAAAACCATGTCATTTATAACAAAATTTATTTGATGTTATTCAAAAATATTCTAATTAAGTATTTGCCATCGATTGCTCAACGAATTTTGTTAAAACCACAGCATCCATTTTAAGAAACAAAGAAGGTCGATTACTAGCTAAAGCTCCATTATTTCAGTCCGGAATTCCTTGCTCGAAATCCACAAGAAATAAACCAGGTTTGATTTTGACATTTATTCTGTTTGCTTCGTTTCCGGTGAGTAAACACTGACGTCATCGGGATCTCGATAAGACTAGTGATTGGCTACATGTAGGTAAATATTTTATCAGTATTTTTTTTTACTGTCCGTCGTAGTTATATTTTCAGTTTTATTGAGGGATGTTATAGCTCGGAAACAACAAGACCGGAATGGCGAATTGTGTATTAATCAAATCCGATATTTTATTGCACTTTATAAATCTGCCGTTAATGTGTTCATGATTTGTGTTCTGGTTTGAGTTCCTGGGGGAAAGTGCACGTGTGGAAATAATTCATAGTACCCAATAGATTAAAAGAAAAGCTATAAAAGAAAGCTTAGTTTCCGGATTAACGAGAGAAAACTCACAACTGAATATCACTGTCTACGATCGTTTCGTATTAAATTATTCACATATCTCAAATGAAACCACTTCTCGCCCGCTCGGTCAATGAGAGGAGTTCGTATCTCTAATTAATCCCCTTCATATACCCACGGGGCTAGCAAAACACACACACACCACAGTAATTTTCGTGTGCGCAAGAAATATGACACTGCGGGTTTAAGTTTGTGAGTGAAGTGTTTGATGATTGGTAACCCCGACAATCAATGACATGTACGTCTATTGATCCTTTGCCGTTAGGTGGCGCATCTAAAGGATGATCACGGGATTTCGCACAATCTCGCGTGTCAACACTTTTTGTAACGTTCCGTATTATAGTAGATCGTGCTATAATTACGGTTAATAGTGTAATATCCATAATGCAAATAAAATCTTGGATATTAATTACGTCAGTAAATTGTGTACGGTATCAGCTACGTCAGTAAAGTGGGCGGTACTCATTACGTCAGTAAATTGTGTACGGTATCAGCTACGTCAGTAAATTGTGTACGGTATCAGCTACGTCAGTAAAGTGGGCGGTACTCATTACGTCAGTAAATTGTGTACGGTATCAGCTACGTCAGTAAATTGTGTACGGTATCCGCTACGCCAGTAAAGTGGGCGGTACTCGTTTTGTCAGTAAAGTGTTTGATTTTCATTACGTCAGTAAAGTGTACGGTACTCATTACGTCAGTAAAGTGCACGGTACTCATTACGTCTATTAAGTGTACGGTACTCATTACATCAGTAAAGTGCACGGTACTCATTACGTCTATTAAGTGTACGGTACTCATTACGTCAGTAAAGGTACGCTATAAATTACGTCAGTAAA